CTTTATTACAATTAAGAGCGACGTTTCGGTGTACGTTCTAACACCGTTGTCAAGCAAGTGATATACAGAATATGGCTGAACAGTAAACTAGTATATACAGGTAGGAGGCAATGTTTATACAGTAGAGTAGATATCAGATGTATTTATACTGGAGTGGAGTAGCCTGTTATGTACACACAAGGGTAGTGATGACAATCATCGGTGATGTCAGTGACATAAACAAAGAATGAAGCCAGTAATAAAAACAACAGGATTACGGCTGATTGGGGTCTTTGATGAGTTGGTGGTGCGCCGGGGGTATGTAATAGCCTTGGTCACGGTTGATATATGTTGTTTATATTACTGATCATTGATAGTTTTTCTACGCCCTCTGCAATTCCATTGTATTAAATTAACAGAGCTGCTCTTAGGGGTTCAACTGACGATCGTGAGCGTGTGGAAGCGCCATTCACATGCACTGTGTGTGAAGGCGTGATTTTCATGTCAAGTGGCTCCAAAGCAGGAGCAGAAACTACAGATGAAAATGTTTGACTGGTCGTAGGTTTTGAACTAACTTCTTTGCTTCGAAGTATGAGATATTATTTATGAATTTGATTTTTAAGGATTTTGGTTTCATGTTTAAAGATTGGACAAGATCTAGATAATGCCAAATGATCACCACTGCAGTCGACGCACTTGATGTCATTAGTGCATTCGGAGCTCTCATGAACCCCACCGTAGCGAGAGCATATATAGTTATGCCAGTGGAAGACCTCGCATCATGTCCAAAGTTGTGGAATTCTTATATCACTGGAGTGGATTTGGTACATATAGTTAACTCTGATGTTTAAGTAACCGCCTTTATTGGATTTGGAAAAGTCTTGTCATTCCAAAAGTAATAACGTATGTGATTGTTTTCATAATGTTTCACTTTTTCCTGGTAAAACGCGTTACAGAGGATATTATGGCCGCCACAAAGTGGAAGGGGGATATAGGAATGGGTTCCGTCGGTCACATTTCGTTTTCGGAGCAGATCTTGAAAACCGTACCATATTTCTTCACCAAACTTGGCACATAGATAGGTCAAGTGGTGAACTGGTGCCTTTCGATAGTTTGGGATTTAAAAAAAATAATATTTTTCGCGTTTCCATGGCACCGACTTTGGCCTAGACTGAAAATGGTGGTAGTCCTCGTTTCCGGAGCAGATCTTGAAAACCGTACCATATTTCTTCACCAATCTCGCAGTATTGAATACATTTACTTTCTTGTTGGAAAGTTCTGCATCGCTTGTGTGTATGTTCCCCCAAAAGTGTCATGGACACGGTTGACGCATTCACTCACTAACTTCATGCAGAAACACAACTCATTACAAATACAACAATGTAATTGATCTTAAACCTACTCTACTGTATAAATACTGCCTCCTATCCTGTATATATTCTTGTCAACCATACTTTGTATCCACACTACAAACCAACCTCAATCTAAATAAGGTTCCTTCTCTAGATAAAATACTAAACCCTCAAAATAAACTAGAAAACTTCAAGGCCCTAGGCGTATTCCTAATCAAAACAGGCCTAATCAAGCTCATCTAAAAACTAATTAATCTACCAATCCAAAATCCAATAAACATACATACACCCACCTCACCCGGCTCCCTTAGTTCCCTCCTCCACCCACCTCGGTATTTATTCCAAATTTTAAAATTTCAAAAAATCGATATAAGCAACCCCTAAAAGCCCCCTCTTGTGTTGCACACACCACTTTCACCCTTCTCGGAATACACTAAATGGTCTGGCCAGGCCCGTGTGCGAAATACGCTGCAGTCGGAAAGCGCACGTTAAATCTTCTATATCAGTCAGTCAGTCACTTTGTACTTCACTTGCTTGATAACGGTGTTAGAACCTACACCGAAACCATCGCTCCTAATTGTAATAAAGAAGATGTTCGTCCATACTCATCCTTACTCATTACAAATACAGTTACATATTCTAAACTGCAGATAGCAAAACAACACCAGTAATAACTTTTTTTAGTGCTGCAATTAGGTCATTTACAAAAAGGTCCAGTGAACTCAGTTCACAGGAGCTAAAGCATTGCACACAACCGCACATGTCATATTGGCGGGAAATGCTTGTTACTTCTTGGTCTTTCAACTCAGCTTCATTTTTTTCTTCCCTTAATTGTTAATTGTTTTCGATGAACCAGAGGCCATGGTATGATAATAATTTTGGGCAACCCTGCTCCCCACCTACTATCGAGTGTCAACAAGGACGATGTTGCAGTGGAAGCAAGACTGCAACACCAGAGCTAAAAGGATGTTATACTCCTGAAATAGAAAGATGAATACCTAAGACATCTAAAAGAAGAAATGTTAGATTGGTTCGGCCCATGACATTTTTCTTAATAAAACCAAGAATCCAGAGGTCAATATCACCAGATGAGCCACTGTCGTCTGACACAGGACTCAAGCGGCAAAATGATTAATTTCAAAACTAGAAGTCCATGCACAGAGCACAGCGTGACCAGCTGATTGATAGAATCAGGCCCATTCTAAAGTGATGATGTGTTGGGATAAAAGGGATACTGTCCCTGGCTCCAGTGCCTTCAACCACCAGACTCCCGTTCTCCATCGACACAGGGGCGCAACCCACGGCAAACGGGTTGCCAAATGTGGTCGCCTCTCTACCCATTAGAACAAAGTTAACTGTTCACCACAAACATCTTATGCAAAAACGTCTGACTCCAGAACGTAACACCAAAACAGATTCTATAGTGTGCAGGTGTCTCATGTCTCATTCCTGATTTTGACACTTTGAGGAAGGTCGATTATCTCTATTTATCTTGGCCATTATTTCTATCAATCTTATTGATTCTGCTTTTCATACTTGTGATTTGCTTGATTTCAATCATTGTTTCTGTATAAACTAGTGATGCGGGGTCTGCATCTCGCGGAGCGTCTACGGGCTATTGGATACTGGAAACTGGCAGAAGTCAGCGTGCAGAGGTCAATACGTTCACAGTTTTACAGTCTTTGATTAGCAGACTATGGAACGGGTAGCAACCAACCCAACATGTTGACGAAAGACACTGTTCAGGGCGCCCGATGTCAACGACATGAGTACAGGATCAATTGATCTTAAAAATAGCTTTACGAAACGAGCTCAAATGAGTCAAGTTGCTGCAAACTTTCATCAGGCTACGGGTCAGACTATTAGGAATCGTCTACATGCATCTCATGCTCGACAGCCACGTGTTGTGCCACCCCTTACAAATCGTGATATTGCCAACAGACGTCAGTGGTGTACTCAACGTTGAAATTTTGGTCATTGCCACCGGTCCCGTGTCATGTTTTCAGATTCACTTCCTTGAGAGGCGTGATCGTGTCTGGCGACGTCAAAATGAACTTAGTCAATGACCTCATAACAGATTTGGCGGTGGATCGGTTATGGTGTGGGGTGGCATCACTATGACTGAGCGAACCCCACTCCATACTGTGCAAGGACTGGTCACTCTACAGTACTATCCGGACAACATACTGCCACCCATTGTTGTCCGGTTTGCGTGGCGAGTTGGTCGACGTTTTGTCTTTCCGGACCACTACGCCTGTCCTCACCGTGCACGAATCTTCAATGGTCACCTCCAGCAGCACAACATCGAAAGAATGCCATGGCAAGCAATGAGTCCTGACCTTTCCGCCAGTGAACATATCTGGGACATGACAGTGAGCCGTGTGCGTCAACGTCATAAGCCGCTGACCACGTTGGCTGAACTTGGCTAAGCACTGCAAAAGGAGTGGAACAGACTCCCTCAAATCGCCATTGGAGATTCCTACACAGTATGCCTCGTTGAGAGAATGAATGTTTAACTGATCGTGACGGTATTACGCACTACTTCAGCCACATTTGGAAATCAGGAAAATCAGACTCGTTGACTTGGTTGATTGCGTGTGATCGTACCCCTAAGGCGTGGTTGTTGCTCGCAATATCGATCACTGGATTGTCTGGTCCAGACTCGATTATTTACAGGCCGCTGTCATTAATCTGGAATATATTACCCACGTTATAGGGGCGGTCGGGTAGCCTAGTGGTTAAAGCGTTGGCTCGTCACGCCGAAGACCCACGTTCGATTCCCGACATGGGTACAATGTGTGAAGCCCATTTCTGGTGTCCCCCGCCGTGATATTGCTGGAATATTGCTAAAAGCGGCGTAAAACCATACTCACTCACTCACTCACCCACGTTATCCAACAAACAAACATCATCGTCAGGTAACATATATATGGAGATCATGCACTCGGTAAGTATAGGTCGTATCCCTTCACATCATTATCTGAATCACATTTCCCCCTGTCGTGTATTGATAGATTATTGCTAAAAGCAGCGTAAAACCATACTGATTCACTTCAACTATGCATAGTGTCTCGATTACGATTATATGTATGCAAGTGCTTTTGTTATGCGAGTGTCTTATAATTAATTATAATTAATTGTCTTATAATTAATTCATTTCTTACCTGTTCTGTCCTTACCAATATTGCTGATGATGAGATGTAAAACAAATTTCCTTGGGGTTAATAAGGGATTATCGTATTTTAATTTAAACTTTATTTTAAAGATAACCACCGAAATTCTTAAACTTCCGAAACTATAGCTTCCCTTGACACGTTTTACGACCAATGGCTGTACGTGTTTTGATTCAAGTAGCATGCTTACATTAAATATTCGATGTTACTATCCAGAATTTAGGTACTATATTGACCTTAATGGGGTTGCGTCATTCCAACGAATGTGAGAGAAGCAGATGGCGAAATCTACGCCTGGTTGTGTGTCCTGTTCTCACCGAGTTCACGAAGGGCACAGGTTTTGAAACGCACATGTAAATACACAGCTTCCGTATTCCACGAATATATTTGTAAACAAGCCGCGGACGTGATCGCATCGACCAACTGATACTGCGCGTACCTGACTCGTACCCTACTAACTTCCTGATTGGACGAAATGTGACTACTCGTCCAATCGGGAGCGACTTAACTACAGGTGGGGTATCCGCGTGTCTCCCACGTTTCATTCAGGGTAACCTTCAATGCAGATAAGTAGTTTGGAAACCTAAACTAAGTTGACACTGGAATCTGAAGTTGTTGGACTCATATAGTCACCTGGCCGTAACGGAATGTCTACTGTTGTACCGTTGACACGTCTTACCTCGGCCGCTATACGACAGAGCAGCGGCCGTGGATTCAGCACTTCTAGGACTTCTCACAGCAAAAAACATTATCAGCTGTTGGTTGTTGGAGGCGGGTCAGGTGGGTGCGCTACCGCCGCCAAGTTTGCCAGAAAACTGGGAAAAGGACATGTCGCAGTCGTTGATCCCAGCGAGGTAAGTCTAGCTTACAGCTTGCGAGTCGAGGGAAGGATGTTTGCGGAAAACCCTTGTAGCGGTGGCCTGTATACATTTGACTGTCGAGTCTGGACCATCCGCACCATGCACTCATAACCACCGTTCATAGTATGAGTGCCACGGGTAAAGATCCATGCAATCGGCGCACTTTGATCAACGCTAAGTCTCTAAAATATATAATCTTGATAAGAACAAACAACTACATGTAAACTGAAAAGAAGGCCTGTGGAAAATCTTGAAATTCTTCGTTATATTACAGTCAGGGCTGGGCAGAAGGGAAACTAACATGGTTTAGGGAGGAGAGAGTCTATCGGGGCACAATGACATTCATTTGCGAGTACTTAGAATGTGAACGAACTGCTCAACAATGACAGGTCATGCACGCTAAATATAGAATCAGCTATTGTCAATGGTATATGTGATGCATAGGAGCTCGTAGCTGTACGGGAGAAACATATACCGTATTCGACGTAATAAGCGCCCAGGGCGCTCTCAAAATTAGAAATAGGGGGCTCTTATTAGAATGTTATTTTGTTGAAAAAAACAGAGTTGAAAGATAAATTTCATGGTTTATGCTGACAGCCTGAAATGTTTATGTACGACAAATATATTTTTCCAGAATTAAATGCCAATAATTATGGGTGCATATAACACACGAGTGCGTATTATACGCGAATAAATAAGTACATTGATCAGTCGGAAGGGGAGCTAATTGGGATTGTTCACTAGCCAATATCTTAGCAAATGTCGACGTGGGCGCTTAATAGAGTGGGGCGCTTATTACGTCGAATACGGTAATCAAAATGTGCTATCAAAGTTGATATTGTCATTGTATTACAGCTATGCAAGGCTCTGTGGGCCATGATGGATGCACTCACTTGCTCATATTAATAACTGCTCAATTATACAGACCCAATCACTTGATTACACAGACCAAATCACTTGATTATACAGAGACCCAATCACTTGATTATACAGACTCAATCACTTGATTATACAGACCCAATCACTTGATTATACCAACCCAATCACTTTATTACACAGACCAAATCACTTGATTATACAGAGACCCAAGCACTTGATTATACAGAGACCCAAGCACTTGATTATCAGACTCAATCACTTGATTACACAGACTCAATCACTTGATTATACAGAGACCCAATCACTTGATTATACAGAGACCCAATCACTTGATTAAACAGACCCAATCACTTGATTAAACAGACTCAATCACTTGATTATACAGACCCAAGCACTTGATTATACAGACTCAATCACTTGATTATACAGACCCAATCACTTGATTATACCAACCCAATCACTTGATTACACAGACCAAATCACTTGATTATACAAAGACCCAATCACTTGATTATACAGACTCAATCACTTGATTATACAGAAACTCAATCACTTGATTATACAGCCTCAATCACTTGATTATACAGACTCAATCACTTGATTATACAGAGACCCAATCACTTGATTATACAGAGACTCAATCACTTGATTAAACAGACCCAATCACTTGATTATACAGACCCAATCACTTGATTATACAGACTCAATCACTTGATTATACAGAGACTCAATCACTTGATTAAACAGACCCAATCACTTGATTATACAGACTCAATCACTTGATTACACAGACTCAATCACTTGATTACACAGACTCAATCACTTGATTATACAGACTCAATCACTTTATTATACCAACCCAATCACTTGATTACACAGACCAAATCACGTTATTATACAGAGACCCCATCACTTGATTATACAGACTCAATCACTTGATTATACAGAAACCCAATCACTTGATTATACAGACTCAATCACTTGATTATACAGACCCAATCACTTGATTATACAGAGACTCAATCACTTGATCAAACACACCCAATCACTTGATTATACACACCCAATCACTTGATTATACAGAGACCCAATCACTTGATTATACAGACCCAATCACTTGATTATACAGACCCAATCACTTGATTATACAGAGACTCAATCACTTGATTAAACAGACCCAATCACTTGATTATACAGACCCAATCACTTGATTATACAGAATCAATCACTTGATTATACAGACTCAATCACTTGATTATACAGACTCAATCACTTGATTATACAGACTCAATCACTTGATTATACAGAGACCCAATCACTTGATTATACCAACCCAATCACTTGATTATACAGACTCAATCACTTGATTATACAGACTCAATCACTTGATTAAACAGACCCATCACTTGATTATACAGACCCAATCACTTGATTATACAGACTCAATCACTTGATTATACAGACCCAATCACTTGATTCTACAGACTCAATCACTTGATTCTACAGACTCAATCACTTGATTAAACAGACCCAATCACTTGATTATACAGACTCAATCACTTGATTATACAGACTCAATCACTTGATTATACAGACTCAATCACTTGATTATACCAACTCAATCACTTGATTATACAGACTCAATCACTTGATTATACAGACTCAATCACTTGATTATACCAACTCAATCACTTGATTATACAGACTCAATCACTTGATTATACAGACCCAATCACTTGATTATACAGACTCAATCACTTGATTATACAGACTCAATCACTTGATTATACCAACTCAATCACTTGATTATACCGACCCTCCCATCAGATAGTTTCGACCTACTTGTGTGATTATAACAGACCCTCCCATCAGATTGTTTAGACCTACTTGTGTGATTATATAGACCCACTCATCAGATTGTTTAGACCTACTTGTGTGATTATAACAGACCCACTCATCAGATTGTTTAGACCTACTTGTGTGATTATATAGACTCACTCATCAGATTGTTTAGACCTACTTGTGTGATTATATAGTCCCACTCATCAGATTGTTTAGACCTACTTGTGTGATTATATAGACTCACTCATCAGATTGTTTAGACCTACTTGTGTGATTATATAGACTCACTCATCAGATTGTTTAGACCTACTTGTGTGATTATATAGACTCACTCATCAGATTGTTTAGACCTACTTGTGTGATTATATAGACCCACTCATCAGATTGTTTAGATCTACTTGTGTGATTATAATAGACTCACTCATCAGATTGTTTACACCTACTTGTGTGATTATACAGACCCACTCATCAGATTGTTTAGACCTACTTGTGTGATTATATAGACTCACTCATCAGATTGTTTAGACCTACTTGTGTGATTATATAGACTCACTCATCAGATTGTTTAGACCTACTTGTGTGATTATATAGACTCACTCATCAGATTGTTTAGACCTACTTGTGTGATTATATAGACTCACTCATCAGATTGTTTAGACCTACTTGTGTGATTATATAGACCCACTCATCAGATTGTTTAGACCTACTTGTGTGATTATAACAGACCCACTCATCAGATTGTTTAGACCTACTTGTGTGATTATATAGACCCACTCATCAGATTGTTTAGATCTACTTGTGTGATTATATAGACCCACTCATCAGATTGTTTACACCTACTTGTGTGATTATATAGTCCCACTCATCAGATTGTTTACACCTACTTGTGTGATTATATAGTCCCACTCATCAGATTGTTTACACCTACTTGTGTGATTATATAGACCCACTCATCAGATTGTTTAGACCTACTTGTGTGATTATATAGACTCACTCATCAGATTGTTTAGACCTACTTGTGTAATTATATAGACTCACTCATCAGATTGTTTAGACCTACTTGTGTGATTATATAGACTCACTCATCAGATTGTTTAGACCTACTTGTGTGATTATATAGACCCACTCATCAGATTGTTTAGATCTACTTGTGTGATTATAATAGACTCACTCATCAGATTGTTTACACCTACTTGTGTGATTATACAGACCCACTCATCAGATTGTTTAGACCTACTTGTGTGATTATATAGACTCACTCATCAGATTGTTTAGACCTACTTGTGTGATTATATAGACTCACTCATCAGATTGTTTAGACCTACTTGTGTGATTATATAGACTCACTCATCAGATTGTTTAGACCTACTTGTGTGATTATATAGACTCACTCATCAGATTGTTTAGACCTACTTGTGTGATTATATAGACCCACTCATCAGATTGTTTAGACCTACTTGTGTGATTATAACAGACCCACTCATCAGATTGTTTAGACCTACTTGTGTGATTATATAGACCCACTCATCAGATTGTTTAGATCTACTTGTGTGATTATATAGACCCACTCATCAGATTGTTTACACCTACTTGTGTGATTATATAGTCCCACTCATCAGATTGTTTACACCTACTTGTGTGATTATATAGTCCCACTCATCAGATTGTTTACACCTACTTGTGTGATTATATAGACCCACTCATCAGATTGTTTACACCTACTTGTGTGATTATATAGTCCCACTCATCAGATTGTTTACACCTACTTGTGTGATTATATAGACCCACTCATCAGATTGTTTACACCTACTTGTGTGATTATATAGACCCACTCATCAGATTGTTTACACCTACTTGTGTGATGATATAAGGGTAACGCTATTTCTCAGGGCATTATCATTTGCAGAAGCCTGAGGTCTTCCATTAACAGCCCGACGAAGGAGGGCAGTTGAAAAGACCGAGGGCTTCTGCAAATGATAATGCCCTGAAAAATAGCGTTACTGTTATTATTGCTAAAATGGATGGAATTTGTTATCAAATAAAAAGAAACAACAGATCGGTTTTGAAACATTTACTGCAATCAACACGAATGCCACTGACCCACTTTTACAATATGGAAACGTCATAGAACAAACGAGATGACGTCACTATTCAATGTGGTCAGGTGATGTCACCTATCCCTATCAACGGGTGTGATAATGGCCCGTCGTCAAGCAAGCTACAGTGGCCCGCTGATTTCTGATAACATGTGGGCGGTTTAATGATAATTCTAT